ATCAATTGTCAGTTTAGGCAAGTCAAATTTTGAAAAAAACCTGTCACACTCTTCAAGATCATGTTTTACCTGTGATTCATAAAGTTTGTTATAGAATTTAAAGAAAACATCATTAATATCACCAGTACTGGTCTTTGGAATTCCTGATTCATCTTTTATGGCTGGTATTGTAAAATTAGCCTCTTTCCTTTTAAGCTGTCTTGCCAAGAGTTTTCCAGCTTTCTCGCCACTCTCATAAAAGTTGGTGTTTAATCTAAATAAAGCATATTCGACTTTTTTGTTATATATGTCGTTTATCTGTAGTTTTAGATCACAAATTTGTCTTAACAGTATCTCATCATAACATTCTGATAGCCTTTTTTCCAAAGTCTTTAGCTCAGTTTCTATTGTATTTATTCGTTGCATTTGTTCTTTCTTTTTTTTTTATGCATATGCAATCAATTTCCCTCGTATATAGGCCTTTGATGCCTCCCAAACAGTACCCACCCTTTCTGTTGAACCCATATTCAACTCAAAGAAATTATCAAGCTCCTGTTCCAAGTACTTACATAGTTCAGTATCATGTAATAAAGACACATTAAGTCTCCACCTACTCTTTTTGATCAAATCTGGTTCCAAAATCAAACCCAAGTGTACGGTGGCATGATCTGTCAGTGCAATTGGTCCTATTGAACAGTCTGAAACATCTTGCACCAAGTTATTGCTGATTAGGAAGTAATCAATTCTGGAATGAGATTTATGCCTATGAGAATAAAATGTATACTCTCGTTCTTTAGGGTTAATCACCCGCCAAATATCTACCAAGTTGAGATCTTTCATCATTAACTCAATAGCCATTCTGTCCTTGGGCTCGACCCTAGAATACGTAGTTTTATCCAAGACCCCATCCACGACCTGGTTATAATCTCCCGCAATTATTGATTTGCTTGTAGATATGTCCCCAATCATTTTGTTTATGTAATGGAAAAAATCTGCATCCTCTTGATTTGGTCCATAAATGTTGCATAGGTTAACCTTCACACCATTGATTACAGCTTCTAAGCATATTACTCTGCCATCAGAGTCTTTGTGCTCTTTTGAAACAGTAAGATTTAGTTTTTTATGCACTAAAATAGCAACTCCGTGTTTTTTATTAGCGTAGGAGCTATGAAACACCTGCCCCACCCAGTCCCTTTTTAATCTACTTACTTCTGAGTCTAATAAATGTGTTTCTTGTATAAATGCTAATTGAGCTTGTTGGGATTTAATATATGTCAAACATTTCTTAAGCTTTATTGGGTTTTGCAGCCCATTCACGTTCCAGGATATTATTCTTAAACAGTTAGCCATGTCTACCTCTGTGACTTGGTGAAAGTTCTGCTGTTAAATGAAACAACTGTGCCAAAACAAAAACATCCTCTGATGTAAAACCCACATCAGGAAAAATGAACTGAAATAAACACCTGAACACAAAAAAACCCTCCCTCCCCCTCCCTCTCACATAAGAGAAATCCCTCCCATAAACACGGCCCATGAGACACACGAATGATCGCCCAATTGGCCCCCATCCTCCCCTTTTGTCTCTTCTAAACAACACAACTGGTACCATGACAAATAAAATATCCAATATGTGTGTTACCCAAACAATATAATCATAATCCTAACGAAATAGTAAATTACTGGCAAAACTAATAACTTAAATTCTTTCTTTCAATACAGAACCGTATTTGAAGCAATCACCAACAAAATCTACATTTTAACCGGTTTTTACTCACTGTCTGTCATTTAGTCCATAAACCACATCATTCTTGGTGCTCCTCCTCTTCATTTTGAGTGTTGCTTAGAAAGGCCAAGGCTTTACGGTGATCGGTGAATCTCATCCTCTTGCCTTCCCACGTGAAGCGTAGCTCAGCCGGATACGCCAGCGTGAAGCGCACATCCAGCTCGTGTAGTCTCCTCCGTGCGTCTGTAAACTTCTTTCGCTTCTCCGCTGTCTCTCTCGTCATGTCAGGGAAGAACGACAGCCTGCAGCCTCTCCACACGATGACCTCTTTCTTTTTGTACTTCTCCCTTGCCGCGTCCAACACCCGTTCACGTTCAAGGAAACTTAAAAACCGCATCACGATGGGTCTGGGCGGTCTGTCCTCGTCAGGGACTGGTCCAGCGGTGCGGTGGACCCGTTGTAGCTGTGTGCGGTCAAGCTCAACACCGAGCGCCTCAGAGATGATCTGTCTCACACATTCGTCCAGTTTTCCGCCCTCAGACTTCTCCTTCAGGCCAATTAAGCGCAGGTTCTGTCTCCTGTCACGATTAGCGGCGTCTTCAATAGCCTGGTGAAGCTCCTCGCACTTTTTAGCACTTTTTTCTGCAGACGTGCATAACTTGACATTCTCGTCTTCTAGCTGCGAGATGCGGCTTTCCGCTTCATCCAGACGTAGCATAATCTGGTCAACGTCATTTCGTAGCTCTTTGTTAGCTTCTTTTACCTCATTCACCTCTTCTTGCAGAGTTGTCAACAGCTGCCCAACTTTTCCCATTTCCTCCGTGGCTTTCTTGAGAGATTGTTGCATTTCAAGCAGCACACTTGCCTCTGTGGTTTGGCTAGCTGGTTTAGCATTAGCCCCGCTAGTTGTAGCATTAGCACCATGCTTGGCAGACGATGTTCTAGTCGTCACTGCCTCAAAACGGCTGACTGTCCGGCACCGAAACACCTATTGTACCTAAAGACTGAGTATTTGTCAGAAGAGACCGGATTTAAATGCCGGATTTAGATCAAATTGAGGGCTTTGATGAGCAGCTCCAATTCAGGCGACCATCTTGTTCGGTGCTCCCACGTGACCCTCCATTTAAACAGATTGTTAACATCTCTTTGCTTCCTTTGATATCATATAACCACGTTATGGACACTGAAAACAGCCAACTTTAGGTCGTATCTCATGGTAACGGAAGATTGTTATCAATTTATTTAATACTTAATGCAGAGCATTCATCCCACAAACAAAAAATGGATCTTTTAGTTGTTCAAGTGACCAATTTTAAGCAGAAAATCAACCATGAACAAGGACCATTTCTGCCTTTATTTTAAACAAAAACGCTTAAAAACAGAATTAGGTCTCCACACCAAATAGTTTAAACAGTTTTCGTGAATTTTTCCATCTTAATCACTGCTGTGTCCCTTTAACTACAAAGGAAGATAGCAGCTATGATACATGGCTTACTCCCAGATAACGACCCATTTCTCCCTCTGGGTCCCGTTACATACCCCCCCCTTTAATGAAGGGCTTTCCTGTCCGCTCACACATACACAGCTGACCGTCCCAAAGCCTCGCCGTACGTTCCTCGCTTTTATTGGCAGCTTTTGTTCCTCTGATCACAAACACACACCGACCTCATCCACCCCCCACCCGTGTTCTGCAGAGCGAGGTGCACTAGTTAGAAACTACATTACCACTGAAACACTGACAAACAGCAGGGTTCTGCATTTCCAAGAACCCAAGAGGGAGTTGTACTTATTTGTTTTCAGGATGAAGAAGACTGACAAATGAACCCCCATGGGAGGGAAGCTGGCAGATACTTCTCCTTTCTTCTTCTCCGCTCTGCGTGGCCCTGGAGTGTTCATTATGACCAGAATAGACACCTTCTTTTTAACGCCTTAGCACATTCTCAAAACAAGCTGTGGACCTGAGGGACGGCGAGGTGCAGCAGGAGAGTTGGGGATTCCTCCTCTGGCCGTCTGCTGCAGGGGGAGTGGTTTGCCAGCAGCAGGCTCTCTCCTGACCGATAATAGCATTTGGAAGTGGAGAAGATTGACGTGGATTAGGGAGATGGCTGCGGGGCTCTTCTGGTTGCCCAGTGCACCTTGAGGGCTAAAGGGATGTTTTAACGTTACAGATGGTTTACATAACGGAAAACATTAACTTGAAACTTTTCGCTCTTCTGAAGCGTCGGTTGTTTCTTATGTTCAAGCTGATCTCCTCTGACCCTGGTAAGAATCGCGGCTCTGAATGGAGCAGCGAGCGCTCGCTGAGCGTTTCCCTGCTAATGATGGATGCTCTGTCAGATCAGCCGGCTCCCGCTGGAGCTGGGCCGATGGGAGAGGTTTGTCAGGGAGATGGACGCCCCCGGTGACAGCTGGCTGCTGTCTCCACTCAGGGGACCTGGGGCCCGTCTAGAGCTTTTTGGCAGGTAAAGGATTTAGTTGGTTTCAGGAGGAGGGAGGGGGGACCCTTGTAAATTACAGTTTAGGTATGCACTGTCATTCCCCATGAGCCTCTCTACCTCTGGAGCTGAGTGCTGATCTCTGAGGATGAGGTCCCTTTAGAGGAATACCCTGGATGGAGCTTATTATCTATTGTTCAGTGTGGATTCAGCACCGCAGACATTATGACTTTTTTCTTTGGGCTAATTTGCTGCAATTACTGAAATGTTATCAAATCAAATCTGGCCGGACTGATCGGCGTCTTTCTTACATCAATGTTTCTTTGAGGGTCGCTCATTGTGCTGCAGCCAAAACCTCCAGCTATTAGAGTTAATGTTGTAATAGTGACTTATTAAATGTCCAAACTCTGCCAGCATAGTTTTACAGATTTTAAATGAAGTAACAGTGAGTAAAATCTACCAAAACTTGGGATGCTAAAAAATATGCAAACAACAACTCAGATCTACCTTCTGTCTCCTTGAACCCCAGACGGCCTCAGCAGATGGCCGCTCACACTGAGCCTGGTTCTGCTGAAGGTTTCTTCCTGTTTTTACTCTCCACTTTCGCTACAAGCATGCTTAGTTTGAGGGACTGCTAAAGAGTCAATGAATCGATGAATTCATCTTGTTTTAAAAAACTTTGAATCAATCTGACTGTATGATCTGATAAACTGTAGAAATAAATTGAATTGAATAGAACATGTCCGTTTTATCTTCAGTATCTTCATTTTGGGTCTTGTGTAATATTTTTTTTTTATTTTGGGTCCAGTTTTTTTTACTAAAGTTGTATATTTTCCATTTTTTTTCTCCTTTTTCTGCTTTAGGTCCTGATTTTGGCATCAATGCAGTCTCCACCAATGGCAGCCGGGAGCCTCACGGCCCGGGCCTCCTCCAGGTGTCAGGCCTAGAGAGGAGCCAGGAAAGGAGCCAGGAGAGCTGCAAGGACCCGCAGCCTCCTGAATCCAGCACCTTGAATCCAGCTCTTCCCTCGCCACAGCCTGAGGGAACAGTCTTCCAGGCCCAATCCCCTCCACAGACCCTGACAAACGGCTCGGACCAGGCTCCGGCTCCAACCCGCTCACTTCCACGCTCGGAGGCTCTCCCCACGCCTCGGACACCTGCAGCTCTGCCTCTCGCCCAGGGCCAGGAGACCTCACCGCCCCCTCTTCCCCGGCCCCAGTTACAGCCTGAACACCCTACCCACACTAGGCATCAGCCCACCCCAAACCTTCACCCACACCCTCCATCTCCTGCCCTTCCGACCCACCACCCTCACCAGCAGCACCCTAATCAGACGGGGCCTCATCGGCCCCCATCGCGCTGCAACCCCAGGCCCCTTTCTGCCTACAACGGCCTCAACGGCCACAGGTAAGGCCTCTCCCCTGTCATAAAACATTTTGCTGTATATTCTAAAAAAAAACTCAATTCTGTTGTTTTTTTATATATATTTTTTCTTGTCTTTTTCTGAAGACTTTTTTTCTTTAAGTGAATTTTACAAATTGCTTTCTTGTCACACTGTGTTTCACAGGTCGCATTTTCTTCCATTCAGGCTCGTTTTAGACCAATAAGAACGTTGCTAACGTTCATGCAGACAAATAGAAATGTATCTTTCTGACCCCAGAAGTGAAGATAATTTCTGTGAAACGTAATTTAAAAGGAATGCAATTTTATCAAACTTCTATAAAACTGAAATTTGAATAAATCTGAAAAAGTAAAAACAAATGTGAAAAAACTAAATCTGAAAAAAAATGTAAGAAATAAATATCAGAAAACTCAAATTTACTCTTAAGACATTCTTTTGCTTTTTTTTTTATATTATTTTACTTAATTCTAAAATGTTCTGTGCATACACTGCAAGAACTATCTAGAAATAAGTAAATTAAAATTCTTAAATTAAGTATATTTACCGTTAATTTGAGTAGGTAAATTAGATTCCCAATGGAATGAGTATTTTCACTCTTAAAATAAGATAATTAGATAATATGCAGTTATAATAAGACAATGAAATTGTTTTTTTCTTATTCTAAATATACACTCACCGGCCACTTTATTAGGTACACATGTCCAACTGCCCGTTAACACTTAATTTTTAAGCAGCCAATCACATGGCGGCAACTCAGTGCATTTATGCATGTAGACATGGTCAAGACAATCTCCTGCAGTTCAAACCGAGCATCAGTATGGGGAAGAAAGGTGATTTGAGTGACTTTGAACGTTGCATGATTGTTGGTGCCAGAAGGGCTGGTCTGAGTATTTCAGAAACTGCTGATCTACTGGGATTTTCACGCACAACCATCTCTAGGGTTTACAGAGAATGGTCCGAAAAAGAAAAAACATCCAGTGAGCGGCAGTTCTGTGGGCGGAAATGCCTTGTTGATGCCAGAGGTCAGAGGAGAATGGCCAGACTGGTTCGAGCTGATAGAAGGGCAACAGTGACTCAAATAACCACCCGTTACAACCAAGGTGGGCAGAAGAGCATCTCTGAACGCACAGTACATCGAACTTTGAGGCAGATGGGCTACAGCAGCAGAAGACCACACCGGGTGCCACTCCTTTCAGCTAAGAACAGGAAACTTGAGGCTACAATTTGCACAAGCTCATCGAAATTGGACAATAGAAGATTGGAAAAACGTTGCCTGGTCTGATGAGTCTCGATTTCTGCTGCGACATTCGGATGGTAGGGTCAGAATTTGGCGTCTACAACATGAAAGCATGGATCCATCCTGCCTTGTATCAACGGTTCAGGCTGGTGGTGGTGGTGTCATGGTGTGGGGAATATTTTCTTGGCACTCTTTGGGCCCCTTGGTACCAATTGAGCATCGTTGCAACGCCACAGCCTACCTGAGTATTGTTGCTGACCATGTCCATCCCTTTATGACCACAATGTACCCAACTTCTGATGGCTACTTTCAGCAGGATAATGCGCCATGTCATAAAGCTGGAATCATCTCAGACTGGTTTCTTGAACATGACAATGAGTTCACTGTACTCAAATGGCCTCCACAGTCACCAGATCTCAATCCAATAGAGCATCTTTGGGATGTGGTGGAACGGGAGATTCGCATCATGGATGTGCAGCCGACAAATCTGCGGCAACTGTGTGATGCCATCATGTCAATATGGACCAAACTCCCTGAGGAATGCTTCCAGCACCTTGTTGAATCTATGCCACCAAGAATTGAGGCAGTTCTGAAGGCAAAAGGGGGTCCAACCCGTTACTAGAATGGGGTACCTAATAAAGTGGCCGGTGAGTGTAAATGTCTTGTTCAATGAGCAAAGTGTCTCACTTACCTCCTCAATTCAAGAAAAAATGCAATTATTTTAAGAAAAAGTGACTTATTTAGATTTAAATTTTTTTGCAGTCTGATCAGGCTCCCATGTTTGAACAGAACATGAAATGTTTGAGTTTAAATAACATCTTTAAGTAAAATGTTTATGAGTTGGTTTTAATTAACAATTTGAACTCAACTGAAATCTGAAAGGAGGATTAATCCCTTTTAATCCCTCTCATTAATTATAATTTATTCAGAATGATTGAAGCCCAACCTCTCTGCTCAGATATGGGATAATCCAGCCTGATTTCCAGCGTACGTCCATGTTAGTCCACCAGGTCCCACAAGGCTGTCGGTAATCTGAGACTTCTTCAGAACCGGCTCCGTCCCATCAACAGCTTTGCTTCGCAGGCTCCTGGGACTTGGCTTTGCCTGCGTCTCCCTGTGCCAGCTTACAAGGCTTGCCAGCACGGCAACATGGCCTGGCACCCACTGTGCATAATCACGGCCGGGGCCCACAGAGAGGAGCGAGCGCTGCAAATGAGCTTTTAGGCTTAAAGCAGAGAGCTGTGGAGACACAGGCTCTATGACGGCCCCTGGGGGAAAACCCACGCACACATTCAGAAAGGCTGTTTGCTAACATGCTTGCACACCCCTCTATCCCTCTCATCCCATTTCCCATGCACATATTCTCTACCTGGCTCTGGAGGAAGTGCCGTTCAAAGACAGATGCTCACTTTGTGGTTTGCCAGCGGTGCTTGTTTTGCATCCAGGGGTGTTGCGAATTTGGTGTTTTTTCAGTTTACTTCAGTGTCTGTGAAAACCCCGAAGTCAGGCAAGGAGGCGTTTTTTTTAAATGGTATTGGAGGTGTGAAAACAGCGTACTTGGAATTGAATGTGGAAACAGATGGAGTTGAGGGGATGTGTGTTAATAAGTGTTAAATGCGACTAATCAAGTGTGGCTTAACTTCAACGTCCTTCTCCTGTTTTCTTCTTTATCCAGCAGCAGCAGGAGCAGCACCCCAGGCACCAAGCTGCACGGATCCTCTGCTTCCTCCTTGCACCTTCCCAACCAGCCGCCTGCTCCGGCGGCAGCTGCATTCCCTCTGCCTCTGGCTGCCAACCAGAGCGCCCCCCACGGCTTCCCGTCTGCACTGCAGCCCTCGCCACATCCTCACCACCCCAATATGTTTGCGACTCCAGCAGCATTGCCCCCACCACCGCCACTGACATCTAGCACCCTGCCGGTACCTGGACATCCTGCTGCTGGGAGTGCCTATTCAGGTAAAGGCATCACAGCATTAGCCCTAAAGCGCACCATATTAGTGCAACTCATTTATCAAGACAGGATATTTTCATAAGTTGAAGGCATTTGATCAGCAGAAACATTTGCACCAAATAAATGATAAGATGGTGATCCGTTTGAGGAGAAATGCTCAGCTCTGCACTATCTTTTCTATGTATATGCAGAAGGCCTAATGATGGTTTTGATAAAGGTGGTACAGTAGCAGCCACTCAAAACAGCCCTTCCCAGTCAAACACCCGCAGAATGGCAGCCCAGTTCCTGCAACTCCCAGAAAAATCCCCTCCATGAACCCAACATGTTTTTTTACTCCGACTCCACCCTCTCACTGAATTACAGAGTCTGACCAGGAGATGATGCTTCTCTTTGGATCTTAATGTCCACAAAACATGACAAAAAGAATATTTTAGTACAAAGATGAATATTTAGAAAGGAATTGTAGGGGACCAACTACTGTATGGCTCAACGCCCAGGGAGGCATTGAGCCATACAGTAGTTGTCAGAATTTCCATCTGGGTGTTACTTTATGTCGCAAGTTAGCGCATTCAGGTTGCAAGTCAGAAAACCTGTTGGTAGCATTCAAGCCAAAAACTACTAAAGAGGATTAGGGCCACTGAAAAAAAATAAATAAATTAACTGATTTTCAAATATTATTTCAGTTTAAAAAGGGAAAAAAAGTCATAATTCTGACTTTAATCTTAGAATTTGAATCTTAAGCTTAAAGGGCAACCCAAAGGAAGAGATGTGGGAGCACTCTAACTGTTAGCTTCACTAACAAAGATGTGAGTTGTTTGGGAAGGCCAGTAGCACATTGGTGGAAAATGGCGGAACTAGGTGACTTTTTACGTGCCTGAGGGGTCCTCGGTGATGCTGTTTCATTACTATAAAAGCAGAAGGTGATTAAAACAAGAGAGCTAGTTTAGTCTCTAGACAAGGCTAAAGCTTGATGCTAACATGTTTGTTAGCTATCAGAATTTAGTCAGAATTCTGAGATTAAAGTCAGAATTTGGATTTTTTCCCCCCATATTAAACTGAAATAATATTTAAAAATCAGTTAAGTTTTTTATTTTTTCAGTGGCCCTAATCCTCTTCCTTAAAAAACTATACTAACTAATTTGATCAAATGAGATTTTCACATTATTTGGCTTTCGGGTTTATGACACAACTCTTATAGGAGCAGCCATATTGGATTCTCGACCTTCCGCTTTTCTGTCAGAATTCTGATTCAGGAGGCAATCTGCAATAAAATTTGACTTCTTTGAGTAAAAAGACATTGTACCAAAGCACACCACAGTGCACACCATCGAAAACACTATACACTGTTTGAAGCTGACAGCCCAAAAGCAAGGAATATTGAGGTATCTGGGCTTTTCCAGTTAATTTTCTCTCATTTTCACTTGTTGTATGATGCACTCGCACAGCAGCAGGTGATAATAATTCACAATACATTTCTCTACATAACTGGGGACATTAATTCCACAAAGATTGTGCTGATTCTGTTTAGTTGGTCGCTTTTTTTTCAAGCGTTGTATTTAATGAAAGACATACATGTGGCTTAAAAATTTAATGGCTGTAAAATTAAATGTCTCACTGCATAATTAAAAATAAATTTAAGATCAAAATTAAAATTGTAAGCATTATTTAAAAAATTTCCTTTTTTTAAATTTAATGTAATAACTTTACCTTATATGTAAATATAAAGTCATTCTATGTGTTTTTGGGGGTCGCCAGTCTTATTTTTGAAGTTAGAGGCTGAAATGTTTAGGAAATGCAGCTATAAAGGATACCAGTGGTTTAAAACACATCTCGACAATTTTAGACTGATCAAACTTCAAACGCATTTTATTAATTTGCAGAGAAATTATTTTAAACACTTTTAGGTGAGTGGTGTTAGGAGGGCCCTTACGCAGGAGCCCTCCTAACACAGAGGCTAAATGTGTGTGTTTCCTTTTTCACTAGAGCTATAGAAATCAGTATCTTTAATACAGAATGAAGACATTTGGATTTTGCTGAAAAGTTACTAATAAAAATGTAATAATTCTAGCAGCTCTCCCTTCCCAATAAGGTTAAAGATAAAAAATATGGCAGCGATGTGGAATAGAAGGGGCAGGTTACACTGGAGCAGAGGCCATCTCTAATGTCTGCGCTCTTGTTGAATTTGGGAGAAAAGCTCCTGATTACTTGGAAATCCATCCTGCCTCCACAGGCTTGGTAAATGTTATTAGAACAGATGCTGCCGTCTCAGAGGGGCTCTAGTGTATCAAATCACAGCGTTTGACAGGTCCAGCAGTCAGACAAATCTAATCTTCTTGGGCTTTGCTTAAATTCAACATGACATGCTGATAATCCTGTTCATTTCCTGCTTATTTAGTGTAACTTTGTCATAGCTGCCTCAGAGAAGTTCATACATCTGGTTCAATATCATTCCAGCCTTTGTGGGAAAACACAGAATTAATGCAAACAAATGTGATAATTATAGATTTAAATATAGTACTTTAATATCCCAACATAAAAATTAATATTAAACCAAAGCTGCAACGCTCCACATATTCTAAATTATACATTCACATTCTAAAATCAATATTTTTATAACTTATATATATAGAAGAGGATTAGGGCCAGTGAAAAAATAAAAAAAGTTAACTGATTTTTAAATATTATTTCAGTTTAATATGGGAAACAAGTCAGAATTCTGACTTTAATCTGGGGATAAGATGTGAGTTAATTTTATGTACACATTGGTGGAAAATGACAAAATTAGGCAACTTTTTACGTGCCTGAGGGGTCCCTGGTGATGCTATTTCATTAATGGAAGAGCAGAATGTTATTACAAAAGAGAGCTAGTTTAGTCAGATTAAAGTCAGAATTCTATGAAAAAAGTCAGATTTCTGCATGTGTTGGATTCCATAAAACTTTACTGTAATGTATAAGGTAAGCCAGCAGGTGGCCGTGGCATCAACAGTGAAGAAGAACATGAAGAAACACAAAGATTAATGAAACTGAGCCAGGAACTCTCCTCGTACTCGTCATCTCCCACTTATCTGGGAACAGACAGCTCCTCTCTGAGAAGCCCATAAATGTCAAACATAAAATAAATAAATGTGGCATTTAATTATATATTATTATTTTCATATTTAATAATTAAAATATACATAAAAATACACAAAAAGAGGAGAAAACAGACATATTAAGCTTTTAGACAGAAAATAGTACTTTGTTTGTGAATCATTCAAGTTGCCAGAGAGACTTAAAGCAGGAAGACTGAATGTCATGGAGTCGATGTGAAGACGTTAGAAACGTTCTCAGCATTTTCACAGGAGATACACACAGAAGCTGCAGGTTTAGCAATGCCCGCTGTGCTAAACTGTAATTGCTCAAATGAAACGCAGGAGAGTTTCTTCACTATCAATTATAGACTGATATTTATCCACAGATCATGTCTACCTCTGTTATGATCTAAAAATGCCCCACTGACCATGTTCTTTGAAAGCAGTTATGCAAGGTTATTGTTTTACGCATTGGCGGTTCTAGACAGGTGCCATCCGGGGTGTTGATGGCAGCAGCACAGCTGATATTTCTCTCCAGGATGGAGTCACAGCCAAAGTGAGAAGTACTTTCAAGTCGATTGGTTGTTAAAGCTGTTGTCGTTCTTCTTTATTCCAGAACAAGACATTCTCCGTCAGGAGCTGAACACGCGATTCCTGGCCTCCCAGAGCGCAGACCGCGGCGCCTCGCTGGGCCCTCCCCCCTACCTGCGAACAGAGTTCCACCAGCACCAACATCAGCATCAGCACCAACACACCCACCAGCACACGCACCAGCACACGTTCACGCCCTTCCCCCCACGCCATCATGCCCACCCCAGCACCGCCCATGGTGCGTACCCCAACCAGAAATGTGAGGATAAGTAGAACGCACCTGTGTTGGGCTGAGGGGTTTTTGTGTTTTTTGTTGGGGGTGTTGTGTTGTGGACGTGATGTGTCATGGTCCATGCTGCTTTGTTATATGATGACTGTGTGTGTACCCCAAACCAGTTCCTTTATTCTCCCAGAAATAAAAAACACGTTATTCCTGTTTTTTCTGGCATATTCTAGCACCCCGGGGCCTTGACTGCTCGTATTTTCTAAATTGGAAATAAGTTGCCCAAAGCCTGTAAAATTCAGAGCCAGCTTTCAGAACATAATACTCTTAATTCATTCTGAATTTAATGACATCATTTGGTCCCGTTTGGGGGTTTTCATTACTGGCAAATGCGCTGCGTTTGAGCCGCTGCTGTCTGTTAGAAACGACCACAGGCAATGGGTGCCTGACATAAATACTCAAGCATTCATAACTGCATGGCCCCGCTGAGCATGGGCTTGGCTCTAAAGATACCTCAAAGGCATCACGGCGAAGCCTCTGACAGCTAATGAGGCCATAAAAAAACTCTTTATGGCCACAGTGTTTAGTCTCCACTGTGGAAATGTCCGCCCTGAGCTTACAGCCGAACGAGAGCCAGCCCACTCTGGTTTACAAGGTCTTCACATGATCACAAACAGGGAGAATAAAACAGGCTGGCTCAGGGAGCCGTTTGACTTGAGTCTCATTTCCCGTCTTTGATCTTGTTTTGTTTGCATGGGCTTCGTTCTCTAATGTAGTTTGTGATGTTTGAAATCAAATAAGCCGGGGGGGTTTGTTTGTTTTTCCTCTTGGTAATAATTCATGAAGTTTGACTTCTCCTCTTACGTTTCTGTACTTCGCTCTCTTTCATTTTTTCCTACAGTTTGACAAATACCCAACAAAAGTCGATCCCTTCTACAGGCACAGTGTGAGTTTCCCTACTGCATGCCATCTTCTCCTGTATGTTCCTGTGACGCTTTCCTTTCAGCAGCTAATGTGGAATTGTGATTGTTACTGGTAAAACATAACTAATTGCATTTAATGTTATTTCATTGAAAAAATAACTCGGTTACTTTGTTGATATTCTTTTTGTTAAAATTCTTACAAATAAATGCTCAAAACAGCAGCATTTCTTCCAATGCGGCTGTTTTTCTTTTAGTTTGTGCTGGGACTCCATCCTGCTGATTTCCTCTGCCTCTTTGACAGCAGCTGCTCATTGTTCTGACCTTTATTTCCCTCCTTTGTTAAAACTAAAACCACCAATATAAATTAACTTATTCCCTCTTTCTATACACTCGCAACTTTCTTATCATACGTTCCTAATCTTGACAACATTTTACCTAATTAAGACCGACTAAGACTAAGTTAGACTAAAAGAATATAATACAAGTACTGAAAGAAGCATACATTATTTTAGGGAGTTTATGAATTTTACACTGAACCATGAATTCCCGGATTTTGTAGCATTACATCTTTTCTTGTCCAGATTAAAAATCTGCATTATCCGTTGTAAAAACTTTAAAGTCATAGGGAAGTCATGTTTAAATGTCAAATCATTCTGGCTTAAACATGTATATAAACGTTCTCTTTATCAGACTATATTATCCCAAAATTTAGCAAATTTGTATTTTTTTTTTAAATCCTGTATTAAAATCTGTTTTTTTTTTTTTTTCATTATCTTATACAGGCCAGTTAGTTATACGTCAGCCTGAACACCTAAATTCGGCCAATCATATATCAACGATCATCTTTCAATCAAATTTTTTTGGTCATAGCATCTTGATCATATGTCGCAGCTAATATACGCAACGGTTGAAATAAGAATCATTTACTTTACCATTGCGTTACGTCCCAGTGACTCATCCACGACCTCTGACACTAAACTCTCCTCCTCTTGCATGTTTCCTCTGTCCATAGCGTTCCTTGACAGTGTCGTTTCTAAGTCACCAATTTAGTGCTACTTGGTCCAAATGGAATTTCCCATTGGGAACCTACTAGCACTAAGTTGCTAACTGGTTAGCAAGATGCTTCCAACAAACCGGCCACAACCAAACGTGATTGCGAACCTTCCACCACAACAACCCCGCCCCTTGATAATCGACCAATCACATTCACTTTATTTACTTGTGTAAAGTCGTGCACAACTCTGGAGAATTCAGAAATGCAACAGTTTGAACAGCCGTTTCCCTACGACTTTAAGCTTTTTTTGGCTTTGACCTGAAACTGGAACTAACTTCCATTTTAAACTGGTTAAGCTGGACAGGTTATGACAGCTTTTTCCTCACTAGTTTTTATGTCTTACCTGCTCCCCTCCCTAACATTGTTCTTAAAGCCCTTCATGGAGAGTTTTCTTGTTCTTAACATCTGCTTCCTCTGTATACTCCTTTCTTTTCCACGCACCAAGCTATAGAGAGCTTTGCTTACCAGATATCCAAAAGTTACCAAAAATTAGTTTCAGCAAATCAGTTGGATTTCTTATGATGGAAGAATTTTAGAAGTAAAGCTATTGTCTCACTGGGCTGATCTGTTTGACCAGATTGGTTGTAGTGTAGGGCTGTAATGTGCTTGTGCTGTCCCACTCTGATGCGCATGTCCAATCTGAATGAATGCTACCAGTTGGTTCCTTCTTGATCACCATTTAGAGGCCATCTCCTGCCCCTGGTTGGTATCTTCTAACCCTCCCTGTTTATTTTTTTCATTTGCAGCTTTTCCACTCATACCCTCCAGCCATGTCCGGCCTCCCACCTGTCATTCCCCCTACTGGACCCTTCAGCTCCCTGCAGGGTGCCTTCCAACCCAAGGTAAGATGCCACCATGAGATGCTGTGATACTTAGCGCCATCTGGACACAAGCATTCATATTGTTGAATTCATCTGTTGCCTATTTATTTGTTTCTTGGTGGGTTAGCAGCAATCGGACTTTTATGATCAATATGTGATCTTCGATTTTTTTTTAAAGCTTTGGCTGGCTTTTATCTGTTGCTGTTGCTTCTTAGAATCTCCATTATGAAAAGATATAAGAACAACTTTCAAAATATTTTTTCAATAATATCCTGTCATGTTTTATACATTTTACCATTATAATAAAAAAGGCCAAATGGTTAAGAATAAACATCTTTACGCTTTCTAAATTTGTAATTTGATGCTTTTATCTGATTCAGCATCAATCAGAGTATCCCAGAAGTAGACAGTTTTAAATCGAGCATGTTCCTTCAACTGGAACTCGGTTAACTGATCGTTCGGGCAGATGATCATTTCCCTGTTGGTCCACTGCGCTTTGTGTTCTTTGTTGTTAGTCGCGACAGCAGGCTGCTGTGACAGCAAATCCCATAATGCTTTGTGAGTAGAGCTCTCCATGCAAAGCATTCTGGGATATATCTGCCTCTTCTATCGGCCTTTCTTTATACAATTTGTAGAGACTTTTTCTCTTACGACCCTCGGCCATTTTGAAAGAACCGCACTCAGAAAGGTGAGCTTCATTGACTGCCTGAAACCGTAGCTCACCACAGATACTCTCCTGAAAGTGCGTAAAAAAAGATAGCTACCATTAAGATCTGGCCACAGTGGGTTTAAGGATTAAAAAAGTTTCAGTTTTTTTTTTCTATTAAAATTTTACACTTCTGTTCACAGGTGGGTTTTTGTGTTTGTATCTCTAAAAATGTGGTAGTGTCAGGGTTTTTTAGGTTCTTTTTTCATGTTTCCTATAAATTCATCACATCATACCTCAAATCAAAGACAAAGAAAAATCTAACCATTTCTTTTGCTCTGTAGACGTCTAATCCATTGGATGTTTCCACCAGACCTGGGGCGGTCCCTCACACATTCTTACAAAAGGACCCCAGGGTAAGAAAGTCTGCTCACAGTCATATTTTCAGCCCTAAATGACATCACCATGTAACTAACCTATTTGCATCTTTTCCCCTCTTTTTCTCGTAGCTGACGGATCCATTTCGTCCTATTCTAAGGGTGAGTCATCTCAGTTCAGGCATACACTGTTTTTTTTGTTTCCCATCATCACCTCACCAAGTGAACCATGACTGGCAGGATGGAGAGGCCTTAATATGCTCAAATTATCCAGCACACAGAGGAATCCCTATGCTGTTACTGAACAAATCTATCGGTGTGTTTGTGTAGCTGAAAACAGCGAAACAAAAAATCCTCTCTGGACTGACTTTTAACATTTGATGATTCATATAAATTGAATGGAAATTTGCTTCTTGTGTAAATCCACTCTGTGGGATGTTTATACTTGTACTTGCTGAGGCTAACTAGCAAAAATGAGTCAGAAATGATCTATTATTGTTAAATAATTGGATTTTCTGCACTGACCTCAGGAGTGGGTTAGCTTGTTAAATATGGAATGAATTTTATTCCATTATTGTTGCAATCAAAGAATGAGTTTTGTAAATCAAAATGTAAAAAAAAAAAATATTTCTTCTGCGGGTTCCTCTGGAGTGAGGTCTGCACTGACATTGGCAACAACATCTTGTTAGCGTCTGTATCGGAGATGGAGTGAAGGGAATGTGATCCGCAATATGCAGTTTGAAAAAGAAAATGCAATTTGTAAAACTACATACATCAGGAAAACAAATATTAGAAAATAAGAATCGAAAATAAAAAAATCTTAAACTGTAATTATTTCTAGAAGAAAAAATTTAGCTTTGAAAACCTTTATGAAGAATAAAACATTTTGGAAATAATAAAAAAAAGTTATAAAGTATGTTTTGAAAAAGAATATATTGGAGCAATACATTTTGAAAAACTAAAGAAAACTACATTTGTTTGATGAAAATGTTATTAAAAGTTTAATTTCCAAAAGGGATTTTTGTTCGCAACAATAATGTAACAAAATTCACTCTATAATAAAAATAAAAAATAAAAAAATCGATCCTTAATCAGCATTTGCTTCTGCTGTTCTGCTGGATGTTCTGCATGTTGTGTTTCTTGGTTTCGAGGTTTTTAGGTATGTGATCCTCTTTTCCTCCTGTTGACAGAAACCTGGGAAGTGGTGCGCCATGCACGTCCATATTGCCTGGCAGACATACCACCACCAACAGAAAGTAAAGGTGAGAGCTCATCTAGCTTCTCTCTGGGTTCTTTAAAAGCCAATTGGCTCAGAAAATAGTGATTTTGGTTTTAATTTCACTTAGAAAGTTAAACTCGTTAAAACCAGGGAGGTCTCAGCATAACGCTGTTTGGCTGTTTGCCTTTTCTCCTAATCAGAAACCATTTAAATTGGTTGGGTTTCCTGCCACAGACTTGGCTTTTATGCATAATCCACAATAGTTCTTATTTGTATGTTTTGTTGTTGTTTCTCTGTTGGAAAAACTAAAATGTGCAATTTGAACCAACTAGCTGTTGATCTGAGCTGAAGTTAAATAACCTGTAGGTAAACCTCCATGGTTGAATGCTGCTTCAGTTGAGTTTGGCCTTTTTTTCTCCATCGATATTCTGGCTTCACTGCAGACTAATATAAACATTTTATGACTTTTGTTGACCTGAACAGCAAAACGATTTTGGTCTGACGGTTAAAACTTGGACCCACTATCTCACGGCACACTGCTGGTGGTTTTGGAAATGATACAGCAGGATTTTTAAAGCTTTCAACCTCAATCCTGTTAAAAATATCTAAGCTGTGCTTTAAAAACTGGGCTGATGAGAAGACTGGAGAAACATTCAGGCAGAATTAAATCAGTTTGTAGGGGGCTGCTAGAAGGTGTGTGTTTGGGGTCCATCCTTATAGGCTGGAGCAAGCATTTAGTAAGTTTTAATGGGACTGTTTTCATGTTTAAACCTGTATGTATAAGTTTCCTGTAAATGTAGACCTAATTTGATTGTTTAAAGATAATTATTTGTTTCCTACCAGAATTTTGCTTTTCAAAAAGAACAGTTTAGATGCAGAACTAAGTCAAAAGGGACAGTCCTTAAAGAGACACTCCCTAGTCTGACGTTCAATGATTGAGAAGCGTTTACCCAAAAAGATAAGAAGTTAGGCAGGGAGAGAAGGTTCTGCTTGTCATGTTAGGAACAGAGGAAAGAAAAGTTCAACCTTACATGCTTCTCTGTGTCGATCTGGCGTCTTCTAGCAGCAGATGCAGGTTGACCCTCACAAGCTAGACTTCGGCCTCAAGCCCGAGTTCCTGAGTCGACATCCGGGGCCCAGCCTGTTCGGCGCCATCCATTACCCAAGTGACTTGGCACGGCCTGCTACGCTCTTCTCTGCTGCAGGTTAGTAATACCAATTAACTCTTTAAAGGTGCCTTTATGGGAAAAAAGATCACAAAACCACCTGATCCTCATAAAATTAGGTCATTCACATGAAGCATCCATTTTGATGGTGTTTTAGATAGTCCTTTTTAAGCCTAAATAGAATTTCAGCATCGGGCTCAATGAGCGAAAATATGCTTACATGTCGCCATCAGCTTTTAGTACCTCAGAACTACCAATAATACAGACGGCGACTGCTAAAAAAGGGATTCTTTGGTGTGGTCGAAACTTAACAGATAATAATTTAAAAAAAAGAATTATCTACAGTAATGCTAAAGGGTGATTTATACTCAGAAATCAGGTTGTTTGCGTGTGTGTCGCAGTGAATGCAGATATGCCCCGCCCCTTCCGCAGACACTCTGCTGCACCTCTCCAAAATAGTAGATGACCGCAGACAGGAGACCTCTGATTGGTAAAATCTACATCCGCTCTACACCATGCCTATTTCCTGTTGGTACCTTACCAACTTGTTTTGTTTGTATGACCGCCATTGAGGAAAATAACTTCCTTATTGCCTCGTCCTAATCTAAACCCACACTGAGTTCCTGATTGTCCCTCTTGCAATGTGGCGTGGAATTACATAGTGTAGACCACGCTTCAATGTTTGGCATAAATCAAAAATATCTGCAGCAAGCTCACTGCGACACACTGCTGCAGGAGGATAACCAGCCCTTAAATTCTAGTCAGTCCAAGTGGCCAATCACAGGCAGTTTACTTTCTCAGGTTAGTAAGAGAGAATCTAAAGGAAGATGCAGTCATGCTGGTGATAACTTGGGGGCCTCATGGTGTTGAATCTGCATGAATAGATTGTTCAAAATGCATGTGGAGAGTAGTTTACATGCGTGTGTTTTAAATAAAAACTAGCACCTGTTGGACTTTTGGTAGAATCCTTACTTCATATTTCCCTCCATTGTTACTGTAAATAAACATTAATGGCTTAATTTACTAACAAAAGGAGCAAAAACAGCATAAAACACAATAACAGCAAATAATACACCAACTGTCAGGGTTTGGTTGTGGTTTGAGGACCCAAATGCAGAGGCAGGGAGGCAGAGGTGAGTTTCTTGTGGATTTAATTAAAGGTAAACAGACAGCTGAGGCAGGAATCCAAATATCCAAAAATCAAACATGAAAAAAGTCAAACAAACCAGAAACCATGGAGACTCCAGTGGGAAAGAATCACGACGAGGTAGACACAGTGAGACGGAGTTGGAGGAAGTTAGACGAGGAACCAGCACTGAGGAACTGCACAAGGAGAGTATTTATAGGAGACTGAACAAAGAGAGGACTAACGAGCAGATTGGGAGCAGGTGTGAACAGAGCGGACTGGAAAGGAGCTAGGGAAAAAGGAGAACACAAGAGGGCAACAAATAAAACCTGAAAATATAAAATAGAATCAGAAAACACAACAAAATAAGAATTAAACCATTAAAACCAGAAAACATGGAGTAAAGTGAAACTGAAAACATAACAGAACCAAGACTGTGACACCAACAGGACACTATGCACCTTTAGATGCTACATTCTCATTGTTTATTTGCAGTTTAATGACAAAGGTTTTCCACCAGAGTTGTAATCTTCACTTAGTAATGTTACAACCTGTGTTCATCTCTCCCTTTCGCAGGTCCTACCCACCCGTCAGCCGCCCCGTTCGGCCACCCACCCCCTCACCCTGGAAACTTCCTCACCCCAGCATCACACTTAGGTAAGAGGACTCTTCCCTTTGTTTTTGTTTTTTTTTGGTTTTCAGGAAATGAAATTAAAATTGAAGCAACGTGTTGTATCTGTGCGTCCCTACAGAGCCTTTCAACAGGCCGTCATCATTTGGAGGACTGGGATCTCTCAGTTCATCTGCATTTGGGGGGCTAGGAAATCCAGCACTAAGTGAGTTTTAGCCTCATGATCAGTCCTTTTAGCTTCAATGCTGTTGAAAGACAGACTCAGGAGATAACTGTTGAGATGCGCATTTAACTTGCGTCCCGCTATGTTTTTTCCGCGTATTGAATCCCTAACAGCGGCCAACTCTGTGTTCGGCCATAAGGACGGCCCCAACGCACAGCAGCACTTAAACAGCAGCGGGAACAGCAGCCACCAGGAGCCGTGGAATCGCCTTCACCGCACGCCGCCCTCGTTTCCCACGCCGCCCCCCTGGCTGAAACCCGGAGACTCCGAGAGGAGCGCCTCGGTCAGCTCACACGAGAGGGATCGGGACTCGGATAAACGGGACTCAGTCGGCAAAGACGACAAAGACAGGTGGGTGCTTCAGAGGTGTCCAGAGAGAGGCAACAGCTGAGCTAAACTGGAATCATATTTATTCCTGAAAATCAATAAATCTTTCCTTTTTTGTGTTTCTAGGGATTCTGTAGAAAAGCGTCAACAGAGCCATCCATCCCCAGTCCCCGTCCATCCAATCAACCTCCTGGGCCACAACCGTCCCCCCGAGCATCACAGGAACCATCTGCCTCCTGCTTCTGGAGACCCTCAGAGGGACAAGGAAGCAAAGGCCAAAGAAAAAGAGAGGGAGCACCAAGAGTCTTGGAAGGACAACACAGATGACCACAAGCTGAAAGAAAGCCAGCACGGCGACAAGGACGCCCCCGTCATCCATGATGGCCGAGCGCCAGAGGAAAAGGTGCCCAGCAGGGGAACGACGTCGCCTTACGTCCGGCAGAACAGCTTGGAGCGTCCGAACGGTGGTCTGAGTCGGGAGGCCCTGGAGAAGAAGGCAGAGCTGTCATATGAGCAGCAGAAGAAGAACAGTGAAGTAAAAGTGAAGGAGGAGAGGAAGGAGGAGCAGGACGGGGTAACGGACAGGATCGGTGAACCCCCTTCACGGGCGTCCTCCACCCCGACGCTGCACCCACCCTCTTCGGTGTCTGTTCCCATGGGCATGGCAGGTGTCCACCCCATCAACAGCATCAGCAGTCTAGAGAGAACTCGTGTTGTGGCCCCCTTCATGGGTGCAAGCCCCCTCCCTGGAGCCGAGAGGTTTCCCTATCCAGCTTTTCACTGGGACCCAATGAGGGACCCCTACAGGGGCCTAGACATCCACAGGAGGGACCCCTTAGCCAGAGACCTGCTGCTAAGGAACGACCCCCTACACCGGCTGGCGGTTCCGCGCCTCTACGAGGCCGAGCGCTCCTACAGGGACCGCGAACCTCATGACTTTAACCGTGACCATGCCCACTCTTTGGCGCTGGAGCAGAGAAGGGAGCAGGAGCGCGCGCAGCTGGAGGAGCGAGACCGCCTCAACATGCTCAGAGAGGACTACGAGCACGGGCGTCTCCATCCCCCAATGCACCACCCCGTCCTCGACGGACACCTTCCCCACCCTGCCCCGGGCCTCATGGCCCCTGGACTGCCGGGCATGCACTACTCCAGGGTGAGCCCCTCGGCTGCAGCGGCCGCCGCCGCCGCGGCGCACCAGAGCAGCATCTTAAACAAAACCCCACCCACCGCCTCACTGAGCGCCCCGCCCCCTCTCATCCCCACATTGGGCGCCCGGCCCGGGTCACCCAGACGGACTACTCCCCTGGCCACAGATATCAGGGACAGACCGACTCACAAAGACATCGAGGCACGATGAGCGGCGTCCTGTCCCTCCATCCCCGTGCCTCACCGTCACTAAACTCACACCCAGCACTTAGCTTCGGACAGAGCGAGACTGTAACATAGCTGTGAATAATTTATGTGGGCAGAGACGTGTCTGCAGGTCTTTTTTGTACAAAACTTTAACAAAAAGAACATTTGTTTCTTTTATTTTTTTTATAGTTTGCTCCATGGTTCTGTGTGCATTCTTGATCCTGTTTAGCAAAGTGATGTGGAGTCAGACTAAACCTTGGAATGTACAGCTCCTTTAGCACTGACAGTCATGTATATAACGTGTACAGTCGCTGTGCTCACCCTGTATGGATCGAAAATCATGGTACAAATATGCAAAAGAGTGTTTCGAAAGCTTTACTTTGATTAAATGTAAATATAGGAGTATTATGGCTTTGATTCAGAATGTGCTTTTTGCTATTTTTCTGTTTAGTTTTGTTGGGTTTTTTTTTAGCATGTTCCAGAGATCCCACATACAACTATGCAACAAATGTCTGGGCTCCTGTTCTGAAAGCTGGCCTTCTCAGCACGGCTGACTGTGCATCAATTAAAGGAAAAAAACATGGCTGGAAAGACAAGCTTTAACCGGTTCAGATTAAACTAATCGACAAAGTTTAGAAAGGATCCTATCGTACGGTAAATTTTGGTGACAATCTACAATCTTTTATTGACTCAAAGTATTTTCTTAAATCGCAGCCGAGACGACGATTGATTCTCCGTCTCGGCTCGCGTTTTGTTCTGGTTTCCGGGGCGGGGGGGGGAGTGTAGTCCAGTCAAACACCACCGCAGCACATCCAGCCCAACCGATGGTGTGTAAAGTACGTTTTGGAGACGAGCTCTGTTGGTCAGACGGTGTGATAAAGTGCTTTCCTTAAGTTGTTGTACCTACAAATACAAAAAGACAAAAAAAGCAAGTCTCAGCTACGGGCCGCTTGTTTCTAACTTGCAGAGATCTATTTTAGTAGTTCATGAAGGTTTAGTTGTGCGCTTCAAATCTCTGTGATATCATGTTGTGCAGTGTTTTTTTTTATTTTTTAAATCTAATGATAAAACGTCCACCAGAGCCATAGTGGTTAGTTAATACGTAATGCAAAAAGATTGTTACCTGCAAAACTCTTTTGCCGTTTACCGTGTACAGAGGGGGTGGGAGGGTGGGAGAGGGAAAAAAAAAAACTTTCTAGCTCATGTACAAAAAAAATGAGTAAAAAATAAAGCGACTGAATCTTCAGCATGTTCCTCATTTAAACTTGTGATATGTAAATTGTGCCATGTTATTAAAAAATGTGTACTTTAGATGTCTGTGAGCCATTTGTTTTCCACACAGATTTATAAGGTGCCATGCAAAAGTATTCCCACCCTTTGACCATTGACCACATGACAACTGTTATGTTTCTATTCAATTCAGTTTATATAGACCCAACTCTCAACACATCACCTCAATTCACTTCACAGTTCACCAGATCATACTGTCAAACTGATTCAAAGTTTTCTATCTAAGGAAAACCAGTTGATTGCATCGACTCATTGATTCGAAGGCAATCTCTTACACTAAGCATGCTTGTAGCGACAGTGGAGAGGAAAAACTCCCTTTTAACTTGGACCCTATTGGACCAGAATTAGATTAAAATAGAGTAGAAAAGAAAATCCCTTTGTTGTCCCACAATGGTGTAAAGATGAAAGGAAAAACGGTCACACAAATGTAGACCTTAAAAAAGTGTATGTCAGGGCTGTTAAGTTTCCCCAACTTTAACCTATAAAGAATGAAACAAAAACAGTGTAAGACTTTTCCTGACCGTGCTTTGCAAAGGGAAAATACACAAAGTTTTGGGATCTCTCTGTGCATCTTCGTCTTGCTCCATGCTTGCAGGCTTATTTATTGAACAGTCAACACATTACAAAAGCAGGTGTTAGTTTTGATTACGCAAACTCTTACACATAGCATGAACTTTTAAGATAGGGAACATGTCTGGTTTCAGTATACGCTTTTTAAAAAAGGTGTGGGGGTCATGAACTTCAACTTCTGTGTTTCTTAAATGAAAAACAGGAAAGCATTCTTGCAAAACATTTGACCGTCTTATGACCTGCATACGCTGTTTCCACTGATGACAGTATCATAGAAAAAACAAATGATTAAAAGCAATATAAAAGATATAAATGAATAAAATGATAAAAACAACAGAAATCAAAATAACTCCAACAGTGTATAAAAATAACACAATAGTAAAGAGTTAAAAAAACAAAACAATAAAATACTGTAATGTAAAGTGTTTTCAAAATTGTAAATACTGCACCTGACGAATAATCAATATGCAGCTATGGACATTTTTACAGCAATGTATATTTGAAAATAGCAACATCAGAGATGTGCAAAATGACAGCAGCAGGTTATTCAAATTACTAAGGTAGAAACTGCAGAATCAGCATGAATGTAACAACTTAGAGGTTGTTGGGAACAGTGGTGGTTATCGAGTATTCCAGCAGCTGGGAAGAAGGATCTGTGATAACGCTCCCT